GAAGTGAACAGCCCGTGTCATAGAGCATGCATTTAAATTCAGAACTATATACCCAGTCTAGACTTTATACCCTAATGAAACAAAAGCTGAAAAGCAAGAAGCAAATAATTAAAATACATATATACACATATCTGGCTGGGTGCAGTGGCTCACACCGGTAATCCCACCACTTTGGGAGGCTGAAGTTGAAGTGGAAGGATTGCTAGAGGCCATGAGTTGGGGTTGGAGTTGGGAAAAAAATAGCCAGTTTTGGTGGTGTGTGCCTAGAGTGCCAACTACTCCAGAGGCTTAAGTGGGCTGAAGTTCAAGGCTGCAATGCGCTGTGATCACACCACTGCAATCCAGCCTGAGTGACAGAGTGACACCTCATCTCAAAAATAATTTATATAAATAAATAGAAATGCAAGTGGAAAGGTGGAGGGGAGTATGTGGTGAATCCAGGCAGGAACCAGAGCCAGGCCCAAAGGTGCCATGTGTGCTGATTGATTTAAGCTCAGGAGCTGTGAGGGCCATGGAGAGACCTTACATGGGGTTTGATGTGATCTAGTTGACCTACTGACATAGCCCTGACTAGCAGGGCCGTGGAGGGGATGGGCAGGAGGGAAAGAGAGTAGTTGAAAAGCCCATCAGACTAATCCAGGGAGGAGAGAGGAGGGCCCTGCTGAGGCTTTGGGAGTGAGGATGGGGGTGAGAGGCAGGTTTAGGTGCTGCTTGGAGGGTGAAACGCTGTGAGTGGAGGTACAGATGCTTCCACATGCATAGTGGAGTCTTACACTGAGGGAGGAACAGGTGAGACAAATGTGAAGGAATCAACAGGACTTGTGCCTCCCTACATGTGTGGAGTGAGGGAGAGACTTTGGGGATGACTCCTGGGCTTCTAATGTGGGAGAGAGGATGACTGTGTTGCCTTGTGCTGAGACACAAGACTGTCTAGAGGAGCAGAGGGTGTGGAAGAAGGTACAGGGTAACCTGGCTTTCCACCCAGTGAGTGTGAGGTGCCTGTGGGTTGTCCAGGGAAGGGAGATGGGAGGTGGTTTTGTGCATGGTTCTGAAGCTTCATTTAAGGCCCAGTAGCCAAGGGGGAGCTGATGTGGCAGGCCCGGATGTGACCGCCCATGGAACGTGCACAGTGATGAGAAAGGAGGGCGGGGCTGCCTCATCAGGGGAACACCATGGGCCCAGAGGCTTCCACAACCCTGAGCTTTTGAAAGCTCTACGAGGTCAGAAGCCTAAGTAGAAACCTTTAGCTTGTTAGAAAGAAACCAAAATAGCAACAAAACCAAAACATAACAATCCTGCAAAATAGTTATGTTTCAAAAACAAAATTAGAAAATGATATTCAACCTCTCATTTCTACAGTGAAAATGTTCCATGAGGTGTGGATGTGTTTTAATATATTTAATACATCTGATGTGATGTAGGTGAGCCCCCTCCAAAGACATCGCTCCTAAAGTCTATAAAAGGAGGTAAGGTGTGGGAGGGTATCTTCTCCTTTAATGAGCCCCACGCCCCACTCTGGCATTTCCTCCATCCTGCAAGCATCCCCTCCCCCTTGCAGAGGGCATCCATGTGATGCTGCATGCAGTGTTTGTGGGTTTGCAGCACTTTGAAGTGCGGTTCCCACAAGATCTGGTCCTGATGGATGTCATCTGGGATTGTTCTCTCCAGTTCCCACAAGATCTGGTCCTAATGAGCCTCATCTGGCTTCGCCTTCTCCCTCAGGTGTCTCACCATGGCCTCCGTGCTGCTTGGTCTGGTCACGCAGTTCCCACAGTATCTGGTTCTGCTGAACCTCATCTGGGGTCACCTTTTCCTTCGGGTGTCCCCCTGCGGCCTCCATGCTGCTCTGTCTGATCAGGAGCACTCTGGGTGCCCTTGTGCTGCCTGCCTGCTCCTGGGTCTTCTGCCGACTCTAGGCAGTGGCATCCCACCCTGTCTTCTGACAAGTGTCCCATGATAACACCCTGCTGGAGTAGATCTCGGTGTTGTCACCCATTCCCCTGCATCCACCCACCCTGCCCACTCCCCTCCCACCTCTCAGGATCTTATTTCACACCCCACCTCCTTCCATCACTCAACTCACCTGCCTGTGCTTCTCAGCACCTGCCTGGTCACTGGAACCGCCTCTGGACACCGCCCACAAAGGACTCACAGCCAGGTGGCAGGCCAGGAGGTAGTGGACATACAATTGAATCTCATCTTGGCCAATCATTCCCTAAAAGAGATTTTGTAAGGTGTCAGAAACCTCTCCCCACTTAAAAGCAGATGTCCTGAATCCAAACTGTGTGTATCTCAGGCGGAGTAGCTCTCCATTGTAAGTAACGTGGTGACTTGAGAGTTTTATAAATGTTCGTTATAAACTACACATAAAACTCACCATCTTAGGCATTCTTAAGTGTATAGTACAGTAGGGCTAAGTATATTCACATTGTGTGAAACCAGTCTCCAGAATGTTTTCTTTCACACACATTAAACAACTCTCCATTTCCCGTCCCTCCAATCCCTGGCAGCCACCATTTTACCTTTTGTTACTATGAATGACTCTTCTAGATACTTAATGTAATACTGTTTACTTTAAAAGAACCAAAGTATGCCTAGCATTGAGAAATTAGCCACCCCCTAGATTTAGCCAGTGCCTAAACACTGACTTTAAAGCCTGTGCTCTTCCCCACCATGTGTTCCTTCATTCATTCAGGACACAGTGTGCTTCAGGATGCGTTTGGGTGTCTGGGAGACAGTGTTCAATGTGTTTTACTATTGACTGGTTTTCTGTTTATTAGTTTGTTGGAGTTTATTATTTTGAGAATTGTGTGTGCTACAAATATCTTTTCTCTCCTTGTGGCTTGCCTTTTTAGTCTCTTAATGCTGTTCTTTTGAGACCAAAAATTTAAATGCGGTCTAATGTATTAGTCTTTCCCTTTATGGTTATTGTTTTGTAAATGCCATTCATGACATCTTTTCTTGATTTGATGTCCTGAAGATAAATTTCTGTGTTACCTTCTAGATCACTGCCATCCAATAAAAATTATGAAGTGAGACACATACTATCTAGACTAAATATTATCTAGTATCCATATTGAGAGAGAAAAGGGAATCCAATAAAGCTAAGTTTAATAATGTTTGATTTAACTCAGTATATACAAATTATAATTTCAAACTTTCAATATAAAAATTACTGAGATATTTAACATTGGTTTTTCCTACTGTTTAACATTCCAATGCAAGTGTTCCGCTTATTGGCACATCTCAAGTATTCAGTAACCATGCATGGGCAGAGCAGTTGTAGAATATTTATTGCTTTTACTGTTTCACATTAGACCTGTCTTCTACCTAACTGATTTTTGAGTGTAGTGTGAAGTGGGAATCTCGCTTGATTTTTTTTTTCCAAATGAGTAACCAACTGACCCAGCACCACTTAGTTGAAAAGACAATCCTGTCCCCACTGTTCTGTCTGGTGCAGGAGTCTTATTTTTATTTATTTATTTATTTATTGAGATGGAGTCTCGCTCTGTTACCCAGGCTGGAGTGCAGTGGCACGATCTTGGCTCACAGCAAGCTCCGCCTCCTGGGTTCCCGCCATTCTCCTGCCTCAGCCTTCTGAGTAGCTGGGGCTACAGGCGCCCGCCACCACGCCTGGCTGAAATTTTTTTGTATTTTTAGTAGAGACAGGGTTTCACCATATTAGCCAGGATGGTCTCGATCTCCTGACCTCGTGATCTGCCCGCCTCGGCCTCCCAAAGTGCTGGGATTACAGGCGTGAGCCACCGCGCCTGGCCTGCTGCAGGAGTCTTAAAAGAAAGTGTCCACATTTGTGTGAGTGTCGTTCTGGTCTCAATTCTGTGCCACTTGTCTACTTGTCTATGCTTTCACCACTCCTATGCTATCTTAATTACTGTAATTTTCATGCTAAGTTCTGATATCTGGTAGGGAAAATGTCTTTTTACGAGAGTGTTGGATAACTTTGGCTTTTTGCATTTTCATATAAATTTCAATTGTCAAGTTCTCAAAAATATAGTGGGATTTTGATTGAGATTCTAGATGTTGTCTGATGGAGAATCTAGATAACCAGTGGAAGAGAGGCCTTTTGTAAGCATCATCAGTGAATGTCCTGCAGGCATCTGAGTGGGATCTAGATGTGCTCTTGCTTTGCAGACTGTGTTCCCCTCCCCATTGTGAGGTAGAAGCAGCTGATGAAAGAGGCTCAGCCCTTTGTGCTGTGATAAGGACACAGTGGAGGGCCCCACCCCCTACTGCAGTAGACATTTCTCAGGGACAGAACATCTCTACCATGGGTTTAGAATCCTAGGGTGAATACAAATAAATTCTGGGATAAGCCAGGCAGCAAATACATAAACAAAACCAACACTGAGTTTCCACCGATAGTGGGGGCCTTGTGCCCTGTGAGCTCTCAGGGGTCACTGTTATTGCACTCAGTTTAACCCAGGGCAGGACTTACCTTCCTTGAGAACAGGTTAGGTGTTTCCCACTCCTCACTGCCCTCTGCCGTCTCGGTCACTGGCCCCGTGGTTTGCTTTGTGGCTTTGACTGAGTTCCATGGAGAAGCAGAAACAAATACAGAGGCTCCTGCAGGCTGGCTGATCAGGCAGGGGAGGAAAGGAGCAGACTGTTGAGAGACAGAAAATTGTTAGCAGTATGTCTGGTCTCTGAAGAGGATTCACAGGATGGGAATAAAGGCGAAATACAGAGGACAGTAGGGTGACCAGGGCCTGGTCATGGAGAAGGACTCTTGTGACTTACTGAGGCTGAATGCTGGTTTCCACGGTCTCGCGTTTCCTTTGTCCACCAGGCCAGGCTGCTGAGAACCCACAGTCCTGGCCATCCTGGCCTGTACCAGAACTGCCCCAGGAGCAGGGAAACCATCTCCAAGATGAGATTTGTGAACTGTCAGGTCTGGTGGAGATGGCGGGGCTGGGGCTGGGGACTAGAAAGAAGTAGGGCTAAGGAGGAGGGGTAGAGGCATAGGTAGAGGCATCCCAGGAAACAGCTCTGGGACGACAGTGTTTGCAAGCAGGGCTAGGAGGAGGAGTAGGGGGACAGATAGGGGAGTCACAGAAAAGAGTTCTGGGACCAGAGTGTTGGCAAGGAGGGCTAGGAGGAGGAATAGGGGAACAGATTGGGGAATCACAGCGAAGAGTTCTGGGACCCCAAAGTTGACCAGTAGGGCTAGGAGGAGGGCTAGGGTGATGGATAGGGGAGTTTCCAGAAAGAGTTCTGGGACCAGAGCAATGACAAATGGATGGTTTGTAACTAATAGCAGAAGAGCAGGGCAGGTAGAGTATTAGGGTAGGGTAGTGGGGAGGGCAGGTATGAGCCACAGTGGGATAACAGTTAGGGCAGAAAACTGAAAAATCCACATGCTTCTGGAGAGGAGGAAGGGGCTTGGCAGATTGAAGAAGAGGGAGGGATTTGTGGGCACAAGAGTAGGATGGCTTATGAGAGTGGGATGTATTAGGAGGGCAGGATGGATCAGGAGGGTGTGGAATCATAAAACCAGGTACCAGGCGGGGTGGAAATTGAGAAATTGGAGGGAGCTTTCCTGTCATTTCTTCCAATGAGAATTCTAGTTAATCCCTTCTCCCAGTGAGTCCAAATGAGTAAGTGGGATGTGCCCAGACCTACCCCAGCATTTATAACATGCCCACCCCTTGCATCATACCATGTCTGAATGCCCATTATGATGCCTGTGTGCCCCTCTCTTTTAGTCTAGGGAGAGGGACCCACCAACCAGAGAACGGATCCCAGTTTCTAGATGTAAGAGCGATCATGGAAAATAGCAGAGAAGAAATGGGGGCTGTAATATTAGTCCCTTTTCTGGGGATACCATGTAGTTATGCCCCTCAGTAGGCAAAGTTTGATCAAAGGTCCAAGATGGAGTTAGGGGCTGGGGGCCTGGGAGAGTGGCTCTGAAGCAGGACTTGGGAAAATGGGAAGAAGTCAGTGCCCTTTCACTACAATTTTCAAAGCTCTTTCACATCATTTATACTTCTGCATGAATATATGTGATTAGAGGAACGATGTGTATTCATTAGATCAATGAGGACACTGAAGACCACAGAGGAAGCTGCCATAAACAGGCAGTGGGTGACAAAGCAAGTGGGACTAGAACTTGGGCCAAAAGGAGGGGCAGGTGGGAGGGAGCCAAAAATAGCCCAGAATGCTGACCAGCGGCCTCCCTCCTCCTGGCTCTCTGGACAGGATCCTGCCTGCAGGGGGTGCTTCAGAGCACAACTGTACTTTTCATAGTAACCTCTTGATCCTTGTGCCCCTGTGGTTTTATGCCTTACTCTTAATGGGAACCATAAACATAGTTCTAAGGAGGCTGGGAGGTCTGGACTGCGTGGAATTCACCCCAGCATAGCAAAGCGGCTGTGGCCAGACTACTTCTCTAGATTCCTCCTCACTGGACAGGGCATCTCTGAAGGAAAGGCCCCAGTCAGGGGCTTACAGATAAAACTCTCATCTCCCTAGGACAGAGCACCTGGAGGAAGGAGCAGCTGTGGGCGCAGCTTCAGTGGATTCAAACTTTCCTGCCTGCCGGCTCTGAAGAGAGCAGCTGATCCTGACAAGTGGGAATCTCCCAGCACAGCGCAGCAGCTCTGCTGTGGGACAGACTGCCTCCTCAAGTGGGTCGCTGACCCCTGAGCCTCCTGACTGGGAGAGACCTCCCAACAGGGGTTGAGAGACACCTCATACAGGAGAGCTCTGGCTGGCATCAGGTCAGCGTCCCTCTGAGATGAAGTACCCAGAGGAAGGAGGAGGCAGCAATCTTAGCTGTTTTGCAGCCTCCGGTGTTGATACCCATGTGGACAGGTCTGGAGTGGACTTTCGGCAAACTGCACCAGACCTGCAGAAGAGGAGGGGCCTGACTGTTAGCATAAAAGCTAAGAAACAGAAAGCAACACTATCAACATCAACAAAAAAGACCCCCACACAGAAACCTCTTCCAAAGGCCATCAACATCAAAGATCAAAGGTAGATAAATCCATGAAGATGAGGATAAAACAGTGCAAAAACGCTGAAAATTCCAAAACCAGAATTCCTCTTCTCCTCAAATGATAGCAACTCCTATCCAGCAAAGGCACAAAACTGAACAGAGAATGAGACTGACTAATTGATACAAGTAGGCTTCAGAAGGTAGGAATAGCAAACTCCTCTGTGCTAAAGGAGCATGGACTAACCAAATGCAAGGAATCTTAGAACCTTCATAAAAGGCTACAGTAACTGCAATCTAGAATAATCAGTTTATAGAGGAACATAAATGACCTGATGGGGCTGAAGAAACCCAGCACAGGAACTTCGTGAATCATACACAAGTACCAATAACTGAATTGATCAAGCTGAAGAAAGGATATCAGTCATTGAATATCACCTTGCTGAAATAAGACATGAAGACAAGATTAGAGAAAAAAGGAATGAAAAGGAATGAACAAAGCCTTCAAGAAATATGGGACTATGTGAAAAGGCCAAACCTATGATTGATTGGTGTACCTGAAAGTGATAGGGAGAATGGAACCGAGTTGGAAAACACACTTCAGGATATTATACTGGAGAACTTCTCCAACCTAGCCAGACAGGCTAACATTTAAATTCAGGAGATAGAACCACTACTAAGATAATCCTTGAGAAGAGCAACCCCAAATCATGTAATCGTCAGATTCTCCAAAGTTGAAATGAAGGAAAAAATGTTAAGGGCAGCCAGAGAGAAAGGTCAGATTACCTACAAAGGGAAGTTCATCAGACTAACAGCAGCTCTCTCTGCAGAAGCCGTACAAGCCAGAAGAGAGTGGGGGCCAATGTTCAACATTCCTAAAGAAAAGAATTTTCATCTCAGAATTTCATATCCAGCCAAACTAAGCTTCATAAGGAAAGGAGAAATAAAATCCTTTTTAAACAAGGAAATACTGAGGAATTTTGTCACCACCAGACCTGCCTTACAAGAACTTCTGAAGGAAGCACTAAATATAGAAAGGAAAAACTGGTACCAGCCACTGCAAAAACACACCAAAATATAAAGACCAAGGAAACTATGAAGAAACTACATCAACTAATGTTCAAAATAACCAGTTAGCATCGTGATGACAGGATCAGATTCACACATAACAATGTTAACCTTAAATGTAAGTGTGTTACATTCCCCAATTAAAAGACACAGACTGGCAAATTGGGTAAAGAACCAAGTCCCATCAGTGTGTTGCATTCATTCAGGAGAACATCTCACATACAAAGACACACATAGGCTCCAAAAAAAGGGATTGGGGAATATCTACCACGCAAATGGAAAGCGGAAAAAAAAAAAAAAAAAAAAAAAAACCAGGAGTTGCAATCCTAGTCTCTGCTAAAACAGGCTTTAAACTAACAAAGATCAAAAAGACAAAGAGGGTCATTACATAATTGTAAAGAGATGAAGGAAACAAGAAGAGGTAACTATCCTAAATATATGTGCACCCACCCAATACAGGAGCACTCAGCTTCATAAAAGAAGTTCTTAGAAACCTACAAAGAGATTTAGACTCCTACACAATAATAGTGGGAGGCTTTAACACCCCACTGTCAGTATTAGGCAGATCAAGGAGACAGAATATTAACCAGGATATTCAGGACTTGAACTCAGCTCTTAACCAAGCAGACCTAATAGACATCTAGAACTCTCCACCCCAAATCAACAGAATGCATTCTTCTCAGTGCCGCATAGACTTATTCTAAAATTTACCACATAATTGGAAGTAAAACACTCTTCAGCAAATGAACGGAAATCATACACAGTCTCTCAGACCACAGTACAATTAAATTAGAACTCAGGGTTAAGAAACTCACTCAAAACCACAGCCTGTTCCTAAATGACTACTGGGTAAATAACGAAATTAAGACAGAAATAAAGAAGTTCTTTGAAACCAGTGAGAACAATGTACCAGAATCTCTGGGACACAACTAAAGCAGTGTTGAGGAAAATCAGAAAGCTGGAAAGATCTGATATCGACACCCTAACATCACAATTATAAGAACTGGAGAAGCAAGAGCAAACAAATTCAAAAGCTAGCAGAAGACAAGAAATAACTAATATCAGAGCAGAACTGAAGGAGATAGAGACCCGAAAAACCCTTCAAAAAAATCTATGAATTCTGGAACTAGTTTGTTGAAAAGATTAACAAAGTAGATAGACTGCCAGCTAGACTAATAAGAAAAGAGAGATGAATCAAACAGACATGAGAAAAAATGATAAAGGGAATATCACCACTGATCCCACAGAAATGCAAATAAACTAGAAAATCTAGAAGATACAGATAAATTCCTGGACACATACACCCTCCGAAGATTTAACCAGGTAGAAGTCAAATCGCTGAATAGACCAATAATACATTCTGCAATTGAGGCTGTAATTAATAACCTAGGAATGAAAAGAAGCCCAGGACCAGTCAGATTTACAGCGAGATTCTACCAGAGGTACAAAGAGGAGCTGGTACCATTCCTTGTGAAACTATTCCAAACGATAGAAAAAGAAGGGCTCTTCCCTAATTCATTTTATGAGGCCAGCCTCATCCTGATACCAAAACCTGTCAAAGACACAACATAAAAAAGAAAATCTCAGGCTGATATCCCTGATGAACACTGATGCAAAAATTCTCAATGAAATACTGGCAAAACAAATCAGCACATCAAAAAGTGTATCCACCATGATGAAGTTGGCTTCGTACCTGGGATGCAAGGCTAGTTCAATATATGCAAATCAATAAACATAATTCATCACATAAACATAACCAATGACAAAAACCACATGATTGTCTCAAGAGATGCAGAAAAAGCCTTTGATAAAATTCACCATTCCCTCATGTTAAAAACTCTCAGTAAACTAGGTATTGATGAAACATATCTCAAAATAACAAGAGCTATTTAAAACAAGCCCATAGCCAGTATCATGCAGAATGGGCAAATGCTGGAAGCATTCCCTTTGAAAACTGGCACAAGACAAAGATGCCCTCTCTTATCACCCCTATTCACCATAGAATTGGAAGATCTGGCCAGGGCAGTCAGGCAAGAGAAAGAAATAAAGGGTATTCAGATAGGAGGAGAGGAAGTCAAATCGTCTCTCTTTGCAGATGGCATGATTATATATTTAGAAAACCCCATCATGTCAGCCCAAAAACTCCTTAAGCTGATAAGCAACTTCAACAAAGTCTCACAAAATCAATGTGCAAAAATCACAAGCATTCCTATGCCCCAATAATAGACAAGCAGAGAGCCAAATTATGAGTGAACTCCCATTCGCAGTTGGTTCAAAGAGAATAGAATACCTAGGAATACAACTTAAAAGTGATGTGAAGCACCTCTTCAAGGAGAACTATGAACAACTGCTCAAGTAAATAAAAGAAGATATAAACAAATGGAAAAACATTCCATGCTCATGGATAGGAGGAATCAATGTCATGAAAATGGCCATACTGCCCATAGTAATTTATAAATTAAATGCTATTCCCATCCTGCTACCATTGACTTTCTTCACAGAATTAGAAAAATACTACTTTAAATTTCATATGGAACCAAAAAAGAGCTTGTATAGCCAAGACAGTCCTAAGCAAAAAGAACAAAGCTGAAGG